TAAGTTATCGATATTGGGTGTTCTAGCCGACCGCTCTCTCTGATGCAGGGCCATCGCCTTCGCGTGTGGTTGATGGGACGATCCTAGTGATCCTTCGTCGTCGACGTGGATCTCTACGGTGTATATTACGGTCTAGTTAGCACGATGCGAACCAATATCGAGTTCCGGATTACACTTCCAGCGCGAGGTTCGATTAATTTGGCTGAGAGCGCGTGCAAACCATAAATCTCTGAAATCACAAGAGCTGACCAGTGTGTACCATCTTTATGTGTTTCGAACCGTTAGACGGGCGGACGGACTACAAGTGACGCCACGACTCATCCGTTGCGAGCGTGTACTCCCAATGGTCAGGTCGTATACAGTACAAAATCGATACACGATTACAAAAACGAGATTGTAAGTAAAAAAATAAATCACTGAACGCCGGAGAGTTGAACGACTCATATATTCCGCTATAGTATTGTGACCGTTCAGCTATAAAAAAACGACCTTCACTCTCCGTGTGCGTGTATGTGTATTGTTTATGACTCTTGTGTTTATAATAATATATACTTTGTATAATATTATACGTGGCGAAGTAGGTGTGATTCGTCCAAGGGCCGGTGTATATACAGGCAATGTGCTCGTATAAGAAAATCGATCGCGGTCCGATATGGTGTCCGAGCCGAAAACCGCAACAACGCCGCGTTCGGTGGTAAATCCCATTTTTGACGATTATCGATCCTCGTATACTCTGGCATGGTACCTAGTTTTTTGATTTTTTTTCCACGGACCTCGGCAGACAGGAGGCGTGTCGGCCGTTAATGGATCGGGTTTTCGAGAACCAGAGAGAGAGAGAGAGAAAGAAAGACACGCACAATAATAATAATAATAATAATAACCGGTACTTATGATGTGTATGGTACCTGTAGAGTGCATTATGAGATATTTCCCCGTGACATTATCCGAGTGTGTGTAATAAGCGTTTTCCATTATCCGTCGACGTGATGGAACACCACCCCTCCTGGTCGTCTAACCCTTAGCGCGTTTTAGATTTTTTTTTTCGTCATTACATCTTTGTTATAATAATATAATTGTCTCGACTCGACAGTGACACGACTGTGGCCAGGGCGACAATGGAATAAGCACGAGAAATAAGGATTTTTATTTTTCGTGGCATCAATTAACGTTGCTTCTGCCGTGAGTAGATTATACATAATGGACCTGCGGATTAAAATTCATCGGTAACCCGAAATTCTCGAGGAATTCGGCGCACGGTATATAATATATAATCGAAACGAGTTAGTACCTTAAACGCATTTTGCCAATAACGATTGTGTGTATGGTATATGGTTGCTGCACTCACAGCGAACGCAGTGATTTATTATCGCGGTGAGACGGCGACGACTATAACAATCCTTTTGGACGTTAACTAATTATTATTGTACAAAACAAAACTACTCAGTCATTTTTATATTTCTTTCTGAGAGCTGCTGCAGTTTCTCCGACGACTGCTGTACTACGACCGATCGTTTCAGTTTAAAAATATTAATTAGTCCGCCAACACACCAACGCCAACTAAATAGTAGTCAAAGCCGACAGGGTGCCGCACTGCAGTAAGACATCAACATTCAACGTATAATGCGCGTTGGCTTGAGTTTTTTTATTAACTGTAACAGTCATCGTCCCGAGTATGTTTATATATGTATGTAATTATTTTTACATTGTATATAGGTAACGACATATTAAAACGTTGAAGTCCTCTCGTGGCGTGTACGACCCGTGTCTGATCGATAGTCCTCGTGGATTTCCATTACGGAGACGGCCGAATCGAACAACAACGATACACCGATTGGATCTGAACATAAAAAAATTAAAAAAACGTCGTCCCGTCTTAAGTCATTTTGTCGTGGACACGGTTTGTTTTTTTCCTATATGTAAATCAGACCGGAGGTGTCAATCCGTGTCCAATCTGTAGCGCGTGTTCGGGGTCGGGACGTGTCTTATCAAAATCATTACCGAAAGTTAATTTGAATATATTTTTTTAAATTTTCGTTCACTTCTTGTGCCGCGAATTTGATTAAAAAAAAAGACACTGCGGCGGACGTGAAAAATATCAGCGGCCGGTAACGTTTTAATCGTCTCCGTCGGATAATTGCGGCCGACCGTGAACAGATACCATGTCAATGGTATTTTCCTCATTGCCCAGATTGTGGGTATGTATATGTATACGTTTGTGGCGGACTGTGGCGGCGACAACGACTGGTCACAATGGAGAATGATAAAAGAAAAGAAGATTCGGTTTCCAACGATAGACATATATCTGTCTATATATACCTATTATTATTGTGTAATCGTCGTAACCGCCGACGAGTAAAGTACCCATGCCGACCGTTCAGAGTAACGCGTTGCGCGCCAAGAGAATCCCCAAAGAATTCCGACGGCGGCCCCGTGAGAAAAACATCCAAAGACTTTCGGAGAACTTCATTCCTACAACAAAAGGGAAACGATTTTTTTCTCTCGATCCACCGAGTCGTCGCCAGATTGGATCGCGGTGGTTGCTCGCGAATTTACCTTGAAAACTAATATATTATATTATACGTACTCTTAGGATATTAACAACCATATATCCAGATATCTCGCCAAAAAAACTAATAGCGTTTTTCCCGGGTCTACCCACTCGCAACGCCGGTTACGCCATATGAAATCGTGCGCGCTACTTAATAGTATTAGATAAATTACCGGTGTACACACTATTTTCATTTCATCGACATAATATTGTGTGCCTGTGTAAATTTCACCGGACTGAACGTGTGAGAACGTCCTTTGCTTATGTATAATATGTGCGGCGTGCACGCGGCCACGGAGACTTGAACGGTCGCACTATCGGTCTCGGTCACCGAACGATACAGGCACATAATGTGTTTGCTCTACATTTCTTATTGTCGCGTATGCAAATAACGACAATAATAATAATAATGATCGTAATAGCGTTGTCCACTCTCACGTTTTCGGTTGAAAAATTCCACAACAAACCGGTTTCATATATGTACAATATAATATACTCGCACACACATGCACACGAGCATAATAGAACACACAAGAAAGGTGACAAACGCTTATTGAAATTATAATAAACCGTTAAGACGCTTGTCGGGCGGCACGCAATTTTTCAACGGATAATAAGATTAAATTCATAAATTAAAAGGTTAAAGTCACATAAAGTTCCATGTGGCGATTTCGGTCTCGGATCGCCAGGAAACTCCTATATCGGCTCCGTGTACAACTATGATATTGTTATAATCTCTTTAAAAACTATACCAATTACTGGGGGATGATAGCGCGCAAGGGCATCGTGTACATCATGTACTTAATAACTTTTGATTAATCTACACGACCGTACCAATTCTTGGTATGCAAAGTACGCAGGCAATATCTTAAATAGGATGCAAAACAAACAAATTGTACACAGTAATAATTATCAAATAATTACTCTATGCGTTGGCGGGTTGTTAAGAAATTTAAATCATCTCACAACTTATAGGAATTTGTGCAGTGATTTGTCACCCTAAAATCCCGTCTCTCTTAATCTCGAACCAATCTGATAACAATCGTTATAGCTATTATGCATAGTAGTTAGTAGTGGTTCTTAACCTATTTCGTCGGTTATTAGAAATGCAGAGTTAAATAAAAATTAATATATTAAACTAATAATATTTTTATGTCATCACGAATAATTATTCAATGAAGGAATAAACTTTTTTTTTTATATAGTTAGTGTAAGCTAAAACTAGAACATTAGCAGACGTTGTTCTTGGTTCTTTAATAACTGATCTGAAAATCGAATCTGTCATATATCATCTTCCGGTCCAGACTCTTCAAGTGTGTGCTCGTGAGAGAAACTTGTCGGTTAAAACTTCTTAGCGGCGACTGGGTGAATTTTCGCTGACCGCAATTAAAAGTACCGTGTAATTAATTAATTCGTGTTATAGAGGAGAAAAATCAACGACGGGGCGACGCGAGTTACACAATAACAACAGGCACCGTGTTATTATCGATTATTACTTTCTATCGTGTCCTCTTATAATTGCATTTCTGTGTGGACGTGTCCCGGTCTGATGATGATGATGATAATAATATTATCTAATAAAAATAATACAATATTATTCATCCACCCGTCCGTCCGTCGTAGAAGCGATTTCTTATCGTATATGCAACAATCGATACGGCGACTAAATTATTGAGACACAATTGTGCATATAAATAAATATGTAATATATAAATTATGGGCTAGTCTTCGGCCAGTGACGTGTGTATTCTGTCCGTCTCGAGAATAAATAACGCTGATGACGAAATATTTGCATGTAAAAAATATAAAAAATAAATAAATAATCGTGTCGATAATGATTTTGAATATTTTCACCGACATACATACACGTTAACCGCGTTTTTCTGGAAATTCCTAGTATGCGTTTTTGGAACGTCAAGACAAATGGGGGACCGTAAAGATGTTTCTAAGAACCGTTTTTTTTTCGGTACGACCGACAGACGAATTAGCTGCCGGGTGATTTATAACGTGTTCGAAATCACGACCGGTTCGACTGGCAATCAATTCTCGCCCAGGGCACATATGCCCAGACGCGCTAGTTGATAAATACGATCTACAGCGGCCACACCGTGCATCGTCTTAGCCGTCCTAGCCTAAAGCCTCGGATAAATGCGGGGCCGACTATTTGTGAGCTTGTACTTGAAGAAGCTGGCAAAGATTTCTAGGGAGATTGAAGGAAAAACAAAAAAAAATCGACAGTAAAAAGCAACGTAGTAAATTGGCGGTCGAATATATACTGCGGGGAGGTGAAGCCTTAGTGCGATGTGAACGCGCACACGTAGGGTTTGACGGGCGTCAGACAGTGGTCGTTAAGGCAGGAGTGTTCCCAAAATTGTATTGAAAAAATACACCCATAGCAAAAATACGTACAAGATTTTTACTAACCGCTTGTCTCTTTTTTTTATCTCTCTAGGCGGCGTTCACAAGTGGCTCCAAATCTCTACACGAAGCGTTGAGTGGCAAAGCTTACTTCCGATCGGTTACTGTGATGCTACCCCAAAACTGGCCGGACAACTGCGTGGGACACTTAAGAGGCATCGTGGCAAGTCAGGGCGAAACGCCAGACGTACTCGTCGGCCAACCACACCCTGTGCACGGCGACGCTCTGTGGACTCAACAGTCGCAAGGATGCGGTAGGCCCGGCGACGCTTTGTTCGGTAGCTATCGGCTGTTCCAAGAACAGAGGGAGTTGGGCAAAGAGCTTGCTAAACAGTGGGCTAAATACCGTTACGGTGTGTTCGACGAGATCGGCTATGCCGGTGACTCTGTATACCCAGCGTGTTACTTTTCCGAGACTTCCGAAGGTGTCGAAGTGAACGGGTGCTCCGACAAGCCTCTTTCCAAAACTAGGTGAGTTAACCGAAACCGGTTAAGGGACAAATTATTTTTAAAAATAATCCAATTTACTTTATGTTATTGACATATATTTTGTTTTTTGTAAGCAGAACTTGCGATACAGTAAACGCTTCCAGCGTGGTACACCCCGAAGCCAAGACCTCGTTAATGTTTTCTACTGCTGCTCAAGTAACCAAGTTCTGCGACGCTTCCAGTCACGATCGTTATGCGCCCACCAAACAGAACGCTCTGTGCGGCAGACGCAGTATTATGGAAGTCATTAACAGCCATCCAGACTTTACTAAAGGGTAAGGATTCCGGTTAACTTATTTTTTATTATTTAGCTAGGTATTCATATACATATATTTGTTTACTATAACGTGTGTGGTTATTATAGTGTGAACTTATCTGGAAACCAGAACCTAACGCCAACGTTTATTTTCAAAAAAGAAATGCTTACCCGGTACGTAGTGGTAATCGAAGACACCAAGGACATGATGGAAAGGGTAAGTTAATACATGATAATATGTTTGATAATATACAAAATATTCAACGATGTCTCCCAATATTAGGAATCCTGGAGTTTCTTACGGTTGGCTATTCGTAAATGGGCCGTGCACGATTTACCGGCCAACACAGAAGTAGGTCTGGTCTCAGCCAACGACACGTCTGCTAACCGTCTTCATGGACTCAGCCGTTTGCAAAACAATGACGCTAGAGATCAGGTGGCATCTAACATTCCTTACTCTCCAGGCGATTCCAGAACTCCAGCTTGTCTGGCCTGCGCTTTCAAGGAAGCTATTCAGGTAAGTCTCACGGATTTTTAATAAAAGCTAGCATACAGTGTGTTAATTTCGGTATTTCGGTTTTAGATGTTAGAAACCCGAGCCAGTATCAACGGACCCGCAAGCTCGGTGATAGTGGTGATCGCACCAGGCACGTCGACTTACACCCCAGACTTGGTGAAACAAATCGCTGAAGCTAACGAAAAGAATATTCGCATAGCCACCATCACGTACCCGATGCTCAAGAGACCCAGATCTTTAGACTGGATGGCCGAGAAGACCGGAAGCGTTTCGTTTACGGTCACTGAATCTCGGTACAATATGGCTCAGTCGTACTTATCCACATACTTCAGACTGTCCAATGTCATGCGCAACATAATGGAAATGTACTACCAAGGAAACAAGGGCGATCTTCCAGTCGAAATCCACAGACGTGAGCTAACTGACGACGGTCGCACTGTAGTCGCTGGCAGCTTTGTTCTGGAAGATTTCATGGGCGAGCCCGCCAAGTTCACGGTTTACACTCACAACACTGAAAATCCGCTAATTAGAGCAATAACCTTGACCAGTCCATCGCAACGAGTGTACTCAACTCGATCGGACTCGCTGCTTTCGCTCAAGATGCTCAGCGTACCAGCTACTATCAACGAGGTAAAATATACACTTGGAACAATTTTTATAGTAAATGTTTTTCTCTAACAACTCGTGTTTTACTTTACAGACCGGAACATGGACGTACCTCATCGAACGGTTCCAAGGCAGCCCACAACCGCACTACGTACAAGTTATGGCCAAACCGTTATCGAAAAACTCACCTGTGGTTAAAGCCCGAGCTTGGACTAGTGGAACAACCAATCCGTTGGCCATTTACGCCGAAGTCAAGCGCGGAGAATTTCCTGTGCTTGCTGCGAAAGTTGAAGTGACCGTTATCAGACCTGGTCTAAATGGTTCGGGAACTCATAGAGAAAAATTTGACCTTTTAGATACAGGAAGTGGAGGTCAGTAAAAACATTAAAATAATGCATCAACGCCGAATGCGAATTTTTTTATGATACAGCGTACTCATATCAATATTTTTATTCTCGTGATTAGATCCGGATCTCATGAAAGGCGATGGTATTTATTCGAGATATTTCAATCCAATGATCGGTGGACCCGGTGTTTATACTTTTGAGATAACCGTATCGGACAGCGGCAGTACAGCTTACACATGGCAAGCCAATATCAACCGTAATATCGAGAGAAACCCAGTAAACACCGGTAAGGCTGAGTTTACTTAGCAGTTATATTGCATTTGCTTTTGTTGTTTTCCATATTAACGAATATTTTTTACTTATAGAATCTACCTGCTGCGGATCATTTATGACTTCCCCACCAGCTGAACCGTTAAACCCTTTCCAGCGTATCATCGCCCCGTTGTCCGTAACTTACACCTCTGAAGACTTGTCTTCTTCAACCAATGTTGGACGTATCGGTGATCTCACTGCTGAAGTGTTCAAGCCCGAACTCAAGACCAAGTTGACGTGGACTTCACCAGATATGGGCGGTAACTCTGTGGCCCGATACGAGATCCGGTACTCTCAATCACTCCGATCACTGTTAAACGACTTCGACTCGGCTCCCATCTGGGAACACGGTAGAACCGACTCACTTGCTCCCGGCTCCGAGACATTTTTCTACATGGATATTAATAAGAACCCATCGCTGCTCGACCAAACACTGTATGTGGCTATTAAAGGCTACAGCCAAATCGAATCGGACGCCGTGCCCGGGCCTGTGTCCAACTGGGTCAAGGTATTGGTACCTTCGCCACCACCGCCACCATCTTTGATTACCACTCACTCTTCGGTAGGATCGGATCCCTCGTGGAGCGTGCCCGACCAAAACGTAATACCCCGGATCGCTAGAGACTTTGAGATGAACTACGACGTGGTAGTGCCAGCTGCCGGAGGACTCCTATTGCTGGGATTGTTAATTCTCATGTACTGCATATTCTGCACCGTAAAACGCAATAGGAAACCGGAAAAACAGTCATCCAAACAAGAGAAACCGTTAAACGTTTCCGTCATACCCAACGGCGGTAGTGGAGCCATGAATATTTCCTCGCCCATGAACGCCGTCAAAGCCGAATTGGAATCGCACTTCGAACCGTGCCTGATCGATACCGGCGACCACAAGAAACGATACAGCATCGCTCAATACGGATCACCCGATCAGCATCATATTGTGCACAACCAGCCTCAGCAACCCTACCACCACCAGAGTAACGGTCACCTGAGCGTTATAAGCAACGGTGGAGCTACACTGACCCGCACGGTGAAACCCTTGAGCCCATACCAATCGTGGACCGCTTCTCAACTATTGCACGAACACGAACGCCGCACCAGCCCTTACGGACAAATAGGTGATTTTGACAATCAGTATCCTCCGCCAGTGCCGCCTTTGCCTGCATACCAACAGCAACAGCAACAACAGCAGCAACAACAGCAAATGTCCAATGGTGAAAACATCTACGGTACTGCCCCCGGGCACCTATACCAACAGAACGGACTACCGCCGCCAGGCCAATATGCTAACAACTACCACCGAAACAATATGATCCTGTTCAATCAGAGTTTACAGGGTTCGCTGAGCTCTGTCAGCAGCGGCGACAAGAAGAAAAGAAATATAACCATGGTATAGGAGAGCGTGACCTGCGTGTATGACCTTTACACTTTTAAGACTGACTAGAAAGCTAAAACATAACGATGGTCCTCCTCATCCAATTATCATGTACTCGTGGTCTGTTAGTAGTATTGTACACGTTTCTAGGGGTTTCTAGTCAATTCACTCTAAAACGTACACTTTATTGTGACCACGCACCATAACTACCATATTATGTTATTATTAATTATTATTACTTTTGTCGAAGATTTTTGTTTTTTTTTTTGTTATGATCTCAGTTTCTTGTATATTACTATTTTTGTACATTTCTTGTGTATAAACAATTATTATTATTATATATTATATATCTATTTATATCATACATTGTATCAATATTATGCGAAAAACTGCCTCAAACCCGAATGACGATGATGATGATGAGTGTAATATATTATTGCTTTGTTTATTGTGTTATTGTCTGCGAGTTTTTGTGCCTTTTAATGTTTATCATTAATAATCGTCGGGTTGATAATCATGACTAGAAATTTAAAACATAATGTTGTTATTATATCGTGTCTAAGCTTGACTAGCGATTTGTTTTTTTATCAGAGATAACTTTGTAAAATTTTGTAACTTTTTTGTCATACCCAAAACTTATTTATACGATATTGATTATCATAATTATTATTATTATTATTATTATATTTTTGTACCTAATATAAGTGTTTGTCGTGTAGACTACTTAGCAATTATAATGCAAATAAAAAAAACATTATGTAAATTAATTATTGCGTTGCTTCCATTTAAACGTTTAAAAACATGAAATTATGAATTTAAAGATCTGTGTTCACCACGAATTCTCGTTTATTATCAACAGTTCAAAATATTAACCGAGTTAATAGTACCTAGTTAATACTTATATTAGTCTCATGTGAATACACAAACACAATACAGTTTGAAAATTATTAATACAAATTTAATTTAAGTAAATAACTTATGAGTGCGTTTTGGAATAGATAACAGAAACTTGATAAATTCATTTTTGTCTAAAAAAAAAAACAAAACGAAAATATAAAACTTCTTACAAGTAAATAACATAATGAACATTAATCGTCCGGCTTTTCGTTACTGATTTGAATGCCGCCAGTTGCAAGTGATCCTCCTGTGCTGAATAACTGGAACACTTCTTTGAAATAGCCTATAACAAACACAGAAATATTACATATTTTATTATACAATACTAATTATCATACATGTTACACAACGTTTTTTATAATTGCAAAAGAAAGTTTTTGTGTGACTATTTCTTTTTTTAAAACAGCCAGAAAAGATATATTATTTATGTATGACAGGTTTTAACTTTTTTTTAATTTGTTAGGTAACTATGTAATAGATCATTGTTGTAAAAAAAAGGATAAATGTGAAATCTTAATTTGGGTATTAGCGATACATTCGTTGAAAAACTCAAAAAATGTAACTGTCTTTTGGTGTTCTTTCGTCGAGAATTCATATTAAGACTTGCGAGTAAAATACAACATATCCAAAGTATCAAAACTTTTTTTAATAACTCGCTACAAAATTTGATATTTTTTAAAATATTAACTTTATTTAACTATATTTTAGTTTATTTTTTTTTGAAAACAAAAAGTAAAATACTTTTCTATACAATGCAACGAAGTACCACAAAAAGTCATATTATAATCTTTTACGAATTTTGTTTACACTGTAGAGTGAGACATCCTAATCGTCCTCCTCCTCCTTTCTGCTAACTTATATATCTTTATATCCTAATAGATCATGTTGTTTATTTTATCTACTAATTATTGTTATAATACCAACGCCAAACAGATTCAAACATACAATAAATCAATATACATAAACATTACAGTGATAATTTAATTATCCTTATTTTTATCATTATACTTACTAATAATTTGTTCAATGATATCATCATCAGTTTCCAATTCCTCGTCACTGTCTATTTTGCTTAGTTCGTCACTTAATTTTTTGAGTGTCGCAATTTCTTCCTGATCAAAAATGTATACAAAATGTTATATGTTAGTTTTATCCCTATCAAATAATATAATAATATTACAATACTGTTATTTTATTTTGTATTTTTGTGTGTAGAATAGTATGACGTATTTTATTTGAATAAACCAAAGATTAGCTGAAATCTATTTTAATAGGTATTTGACTTTGTTATGGTTTATATTTTATTATATAAAACAATATATTATAGTTTATATTTAGTACTCTTATAGTACCAAGCGATTATCAACAAAATAATAACATGTACATACATAACATAAAAATCCTAACAACAATTTTATCTAATAATAATATAACTGCAATCAACGAATAATAAATTTCAAATTAACCTTTCACGGTCAAAAATACAATAATAGGAAATGAGAATTATGTAATATTATGTATTTTCAGTTTTTATGTTATCTCTTATTGTACAATAATCAAAAAATACTTTTAGAATTTCAATGCCAAAAATATGTATTTAAGTTAGTCTGACATTGGATGATTTCCGATTGACAACATTTATTATAATCTCTATAATATTTTGCTGTTAAAAACCAAAAATTGTACAAAACCGGGACCACAAACAAACATAATTAGATCAATTTGGTTGCTAAAGGTTATACGCTTTTATATTAGCTTTCAATGTATTATTGTATTGTATACTAATAATTGCTCAATTGTAGAACTTTCGAATTATATTTATTTGACGGTCAGATTGATAATAACTAATTGGACTATACAGAAATAATGTTTGAAAATCAAGAAAGATTTATTTATGCTTAAATCATAAAGGTATTTAGTGTATTAAAAATTGAATAATTGTTTACTCGACTAAAAGATGTCGATGCATCAATTGTCGGTGATAGAGATCGTCTCCAACGATTACCCATCGCTTGTGGCAATCCGTCGAAATGTTGTCCGTTTTTTGGTTCAAACGTGTCGTTTCCTATAACATAAAAAAATCGGTAAATATTAATCAAAGAAAAAAATATTTCCTATTGTTATTCAAAAGGATGTACGATATAGTTTGAGGAATTTCAATTCGGCAAATGCTTACGCATACGAGTTTTTAGAAAGTATAAGTCAAACGAATTAGTGGTTAATGAATTATAAACATAATCCTGGCCTGCACATCGATTATTATTCCCAGTAATATCATTGTAAAAATTCAAAACAAACAAATACACCATACTATAAAAGGTATAAATAAAAAATTGCGGCAATTAATAATGTAAAATTAATTCAAAATAAATATTCAACAATTAACAGGTAAGGGATCAAATCAGAGCCTGGTACACGCTTACTCTAACCATAAATTCTTCTGTCATAATATCTTCTAGTTCTAACACCTTATAGTACATTATCAAACTTATATACGATTTCAGTAATAATTTTCTCATCAGCGCCGACTTCAATACCATTTTGTTAAGAAGTCGTATATTTTAATTAAACTATTTGTTCGAAAACTACTTATATTGTATACAGAGTGATAAATTTAACGTAAGACACTCATCTTCTCTTAAAATAATTGAAAATGTGTAGTTTTTCTTTTTGGAGAGACTTATAGTTTAGGTTATTTTATACAATTTTACAATATTAGACGATATTCAAATTGTTTTCTTTCTATTTCTTTTCTAGAGCTTTATCAAATTTTAAAACTGAAATATAAATAATATTTAACGTATACCGTTAAATGTATAACCGTGTATGCATAATATGTCGGAACTCGGATATTTATGTATAATTACCAAACATAAACGACATTCGGTATACCGTTACACTTACCGACTTTGAAAATCCACGTTCCATCGGTGATTTGGTTTTTGAATCCCCATGTGATATTACTCCCCCACGGTATAATGGACGTCATCCACCAGCTGTCGGGCGGCGTAGAGACTGACGTATATTTCCACTTGATCGGTCCGTTGTTTTTCATCCGAATCCATCTGACCGATGCTAGCTCGTTGTCGTACTGATCCGTATATGTAAAACCACCACCGATTATGTCTGAATAAATTGCACACGCACAACAAGCAACATAATTAATCATATTATGTAACTTGAGGGGCTAAGTCCCCGGAGAATTGATTTTAAACCTATCCAACTGGTCAAGGTTCAAATATGAACTCTTTTTATAAAAAATGTGTATAAAAAACCGTTATTTCCGAGTAAAACAAATTTGCTGAGGACCTCCTATAATAGATAATTCTTCCTAATTAGAAAAATTATATGTACGCCTATGATACATCATACGGTGTATGAAACGCATTGTAATTTATAGTATCATAATCTGCATACATATATTCTTACTGAACTCGCCAATTATAATATGTTTCCTTAAGTTTGCCACTAAAATATTTATGTATGACATTAAGGGGTTGTGGATATGTGTTGTGGTATATAAGTTATATTTTAGTAAGATTACAAGAATAAATTTAGGATTTATCTTTATTTTAGAAATTAAAAAAACGTATATAAGTTGCTTAAATATATTTTACTATTTTGTTTCTTTTGATCTTTGTGGAACAAATAAAATTCCACCATAGCATTTTATTAAAATTAAATATTTTATATAAAATTAATAAGTAAAACCATAGCGTTTTATTGGCATAATGGTTAATATTTTTTACCATCCTTTTTTGTCTATTGATGCCATTTGAGTGAGAACTTAACAATGTGTGGTTACGTCGTATACTACATAGTCTTTTTATAAAATATATGTAATTTACTGTAGACGCTTTTGCTTTTATAGATAACACGTCTCGGTCAACTAAATAGGCACTTAGTACAATTCATTAATTAGAACACATATTATGCATGTAAACAAATGCAGTTATAACTTATCTACAAGCTTTGAAAAATAATAAAACCCTATTAGTAATTACTGTTAATCATATTTAATAAATACAAGAACAATGCAAAATATTAAAATCAGATGTCTATCTATTATTTTATTTAAGTACTCTAAATTGATTCGATGAATAAATAACCGTACGATTATTTCAATTGTACACGCTATCGTGTTCAAATAAAGTTAGTAAGGCACCGCATTGTTTTTTTGGACGTTAGCCCATTATAAAAACTATTAGGCATGACATAGTAGAATAATAAATAATAATATGACAGTGCAGCAATTCTTATTTAAGATAAATTAACACGAAAGCTATTTTTTTCACAAAAACAACAATTCCTATTGTGAATTATGCGAATATTGGAAAGCTATTAACAAATGTTAAACAAATATCGATTATCAAATACATTTAGTAAAACGCATGTTGTCTTAATGTAATATATTATCGGCTTCATACACGTAATCTAGACCATTTTATATTTCATGTACACGCTTATACACGTGCTTCCATGTAATTGATTTATTTGTACGGCATAGACACTTCAGAAAATACATTGTAAAAAAAAAAAATGAAAAATGTAACTTAATTAACTAGATAGACTAAACTAGCAAAACGAATTATCGAGAATATCATTTTAGTTAATTATAAAGGTCTATGACCTGACCATGATAACATCACAAAAATGATTAAATTTTTAAAACTTTCCAAATTATATACATAATATTGTATAAACATTGTCTAAAAATTGTTCTTTCCATATTTAAATGTCTAAAATTTAATTTCTTCCTCTAAATAGTTGTAAGTTAATAATCTTTGTAGTTGTACTGGCTTAATAAAAAAAAGTCTGTTCCATTCAATGGTTTTGGAAGATGCAATGAAAATGTCCTCGGTTTTCCCGCTGAACTTCCTCATAGGACACTCGGCTACTATAATTTAGAGGGTTTTTACTTTATTTAACAATTGGAAAGGTCCTATTTTAACTAAAATGAACCAAGACCCAAAAAATAATTAAATCCTGACGTTTTGTTAGTTTTATATGAAGGAAATTAAACGTATAAAAGCATAAACGGATATGAGATAACATACTATTTAATACGTTAGAAATAAATAAAAAGAAACATAGACATGGTGACCAGAAACATAATAAATAGACACTTAGATATAGATAATAAGTAAACTTAGATTTAAGGTTTGAGTGCTTTCGAACGTTCGATAAGGCTCCGTTACTATCTTGGGTCTACAATTCGTTATCATGGATAACGCATTTTGAATGGACGTGCGACTAAAAGATGACATTACAAGGGATACAATTTATTGCCTCTAAACAACATAAGTAAAGGATACAATATATTTATGTGTTCCGAGACATGCAAATCGATTGAACAACTGTAATTTCCGTGAGCGACTTCGGTGAAGTTTTATATTCTTTGACAAAATTTATGGTGACAGCATTGCGTTTTATCGGTTTTGATAAATGAAAACTGTTTGTTACGCCAACCCGCATGACTACAGCAACAATTTATATAATAGTTTCATTGCAAATGCTTCGAACGCTGAATAGAGTTGGTAAAGAAATATTAAAGAAGTTGTCCAAGTATAACTGATTTGGATTTAGCACTAAATAAATATTCGCAAACGATAAATAATCATTGGCATTTGAAAATGTCGTGAATAGAATTCAGTTTTAAATGTATAGTCTTTATAAATTGCAATATTATGAAGTTCTATTTGCAATTTGTCAATATTCCATATGATTTTATTACGGTGTATTAACATATTTTTGTGCTAGTGTCCCAAACAAAATCTACAATTTTCTAAGATAGTTGAATATAATATGACTTTATCGATAAAATAATAGCTAGATTAACCCTTTAGTACCTAGATCAAATGTTGCACAGCCTGGTTTTATCACATTTAAATTTCTGTTTTTTAATTTATTAACTAATACTTCAAGTAGTATGTTAATTATTATATATGTATGTATTTTAATAACGCAATTTTTTTAAACTAGAATTTAACACCAGTATAATAGTGTTTTATGTAAAATCCGAGGTGCAGTGGTCATGTTACACCTAACAATATGTTTTGTAAAATGGATTGAATTGTACTTGTTATCAATACAATCTAATATCTATAATAATAATAAATTAAGGTCGAACTTGAAACTTACACTAAATAAAACAGCGTGACGAAACTCAAGGCCCTGGCTATAAAATTAATATATTATAATAATAATAAAAAAATGTATCACTATTAATGATATTTGGGTTTTTTAGATTTTTCGCAAGGTAAACATTTCGCAAACATATATGTAATTTAAATTCTCATTTTCAATATAATTATAAAGAAAAACATAACATCTTCGTGCCTCATATCAAACATTCCTCTTTAACACAAGCCGCACATGATACAACACTTGTAACCCTTGTATTTTATCACCATCATGTAGCTTAACAGGCCTTAAACGCCCAATGCTACCATCATGAGTCAATCTGTCGCCGAAGGGGGGTGCCGGTTCTTTCTTATTACCAGACAATTTCTCTACCGGAAAAAGAGCGCTTGCGATAAAAAATTATTTTCAACATAGTTTTAGGTATTTTTAACCGTTACCTATTATTTTGATATAAATACTTTTAGCGGTTGTATTTCATTTATTTATAGGAAAAATTGTATGTTGTTTACTATTAAATAAAAATAATAATATTATTATTTTTCAATTCTGTTTTCATTTAAATTATTGGAATGACAATAGCGTTATTAACTTGTTATGTTTACACTTCATAGTTACATTCCGTATAGTTCATAACATAGGTATCCATCATCCAGAGTAAATTCATCGTCAGTAACTTTGAAAAGTAAATGAAAAGTATTAAAAATAAGTAGGTAAATGTATTTTAATAATTTTATTCGTAAGAACACTAATGATAACAAATTTTAAAATGCCAATGCATAACCATTGCCATTAACCACAAGAAAATTATTTTTTATAAAAGAAACTTTTTTTGGTTATTTTAAAGTCATTTAAATACTCAATACCAGTACAATAAATGAGAATATGCATTTAAATTGAAAACAATCGTTAAAAATGTTTAAAAAAAAAAGTATCACCAAATTCGTAAGTTTTGAATAATTTTAATGATTTAACCTTTTAGTGTTGCTTTAAAACGGATTATTTTCGAATATATTTCTGTTTAGACATTTCCTTATTATTACTATATTTTCTATACATAAAATTAGTTAAACTGATTTTATTGCATTTACGATGATGGTAAAATATGAATAGATTTTTTTTTTACTAATATATAAGGATAGATAAGGGCCACGGCATGAGAATTGGAATTATAAGTTATTGACATTATTTACAATTCGTGTTAAATACTTCATAGTTTCATAGTACTGTAATGTATGAAATATATATTTTTTAAATTTAATGTCTTGTTGTTTAATTTAATGTCATACACGCAATTGTGTTTACGATAAAAATAAACAAAAAGGTGTGATTATTCCAATAAAATAATGATGTTTTGATTTACACTTCCTTAAATACAAATGTTTACTGATCTAATAATATTAGCTAAAAACATTAAACGAGTAATGCTCTTTTGTTTCGTGCGCCCCGCACAAACACTGCAAGTACTAGTACTTAGGACTTTAGATGTGCTAGTAAATATTTCGTTCTATTCGTTTGCGTCGTTCATATAAAGTCCATAATACATATTATTAAGTTGACAAAAGTTAGGTACATATATGATTTATATCTGTGAATACTGTCCATCTTTAGCATATAATACAACCAAGATAGTATCGTAGCTCATCACAATGTTAAATTACTCGATCCAAGGACACGTAACATTCACGGCGTTACTGAGACATGTAACCACACGCGGCCGTTAACAAGAGACAGATTAGATACGCACTGGCCTAAGTACATGACGTTAAATATAATAAGTTTAACGCGCGGTCCGACTCGTTAGACTCGTAAGTTAGACAAATCCATGATTAAACTTCGCTCATGGTCATTATAAAAGGCTTATCCGTAGCTGTAAAACAGTATACAAAAAATAGGTTAGCAAGAAAAACTCTTCTGCCTTCGATTTAAAGTATTCAGCAACGCGTATCGTAAAAAAAAGATATTATCTAAGGTCTAGCATATCGTCAGCCTGATTAGCAATGGGCGTAACGCCGAAATACCAAATTTCGCACTAAAAGGAAAAAAACGTTTAATTTATTATATATATTTCAATAATACTTGATTACTTTTTATCACACATTTCATCGAAAAAACACTGAAATATAATTATTATACTAGCCGAATCACAGATTTTATTTAAAACAGTGTAATATATCGAAAATTGATTATTTTTAGAGTTACGCCCTTTGCTAAATAGGCGGACGATATTATTCATTTAGTTTGACCGTATGTTTATATATTATATGATTACTATTGACTATTATTCAAAAATGTTGCCACTATGTATGAATTTATTATTTATTATTCAATAATAAGGTTACAATGAGAAATTCAATTACATAATATATCATACTCCAATAAACTTAAGCAATAGAAAATACATAAATGAAATGGATTGTCTCTTTTATTTTATCACACTAAGAAAGATCTTATTGATAAAGATCTTATTGATAAAAATAGGTACCAATAGATCATACAACTATGACACATGTGGATTGCGCCATTAAACGTGGACGTCAACTTTCACGTGAAACATGTTTATTACCGGTTCGTGTCAAACATAACATATTTTGGAACGTACAGTTAATACAAGGGAGAACAATTCAAAAAAGTACATAGATAACTCTATAGAAAATTTACTTGGAAAAAAAGACAAATAAATATTCAATACAAAATTGTAAAATTTTATATAGATAGATAAATTCTTCTAAATATGATATTGTTGTGCAACTTTTATATTATGTAAGATAAAATAAAGGATAATTGTGATAGTACCAATTCATTCGCAAATAAGTTAAAATTGGTTTTAAACTCTCCAAGGACAATCTTTGTCAAACTATATTTATCTTTTAGTTAATAACTCTTAAAAAACAACCGAACCGTCTAAACTTTTCGATAAAAAATAATTGGTAAATTATAAGTTGAATCAGTACTACTGAAGTTCTTGTTCAAGTAAAGCCTGAACTATAAACCGTCAGACATTTTTAAAACTGGCGCCACCGAGTTAAATATATTATAATAAGTTAAGTTAATTATTAGTACAAATGTATATTTGTTAAACTTTATCCAACTAAAAGTTTCTATGGCAATACACAACAAAAACAATAAATACACTATTTAATACCACTCTTCTGAGTTCTGTCCTCGAATATTCAGTACACAAATTACGTTCGTTTAACAAATTAAACCAAGCAATTGTAATAATTCGTCCGGAAAATTAAAAAAAAATAGCGTTCAACTTATGAACGCACATATGATTTTCCGAAAACAGAAAATTTGTCTTTATTTCCAAAAACCCAAACGTCCGTTTAGTCATTAATTTATTAGACATGCATTTGTTATCAGAAAAGTATCATCTACGTGATTTTCATCAACATGTGTTAGATGAAAATAAAAAAATAGTAGGTTACCTAAATTATAGACTAAATTTACTATAATATTATATAAATAGACAATATGCTAATGTAACAAAAGACAACATGATATTTTATCCCACATTGCTGAATTTTACTGAATAATTATGAATTTTGAAAAATAAGGAGTGTCAAATCGGTAGTTTTCCATTTATATTATTAATTAATCTATTGTTGTACATAAGAATAGGTGAAATACCTCCAAAAAATGTCATTAATATTTGACGCCGAATTGTTTTAAATTAATTTCCAAAAAAACAGGCCTTAGTCCTAAGACTACGCTCATAAAAGAAAAATAAGAAAAACGCTTTTAAGCCTTTTAAAGAAAAATCTTAATAACGTCATCTTACTGCGAATAGGTACAGCTAAAAACAGCTATTAAAAAAACAAAAATCTCAGATTATTAAAGTTTATCTTTTATACATTTTTTAAAATTATATGGTACATATATGATACTGGAGAAAAACTGAAAGAATTTTTTATCTTTTAAATGTTAAGAGAGAAAACATTTTTATACCCTCACATTAGTATACTTAAATGACCAAACTACACAAATGAAATGATAGTAAATGTTATCGACTATCTTTCGACTAGAAGCCTTATTTTTTTGCAGGCCGTTTCACTGACCTAGTGTAACTCGCGGTCATGAGTATTTTATTAACAATTGAAATCAGTTACATAGTAATAAAAAATACATAGAGTCCTTGATATCTTGTAAAATATTTATTTATGGCCTCGTTCTCTTCAGTTCTAATATTCCCATTATTATTTAAAATTATGCGTACAGTTTCCATTTTAATTAATTAACAAATAGCGATTTTACATTACAGCTGTATAAGAATAATGTGGAATACACAGCTGTAATGCTTTGTATTATGGAAAATGTACACATCATAATAATATTATCTTACTAAAATTAGACAGTCATTGCATTTTTTTTAAACATTTAAAAACACGAAATGTTATCACCATAATATAATTGTAAATTCTGTTTATAAAAAATATTTAAGTAGTTATTAGAACTTAGAATCAATCAAAGTTGACCAAATTTTATTAGAATATAAAATATTATAAATTTTATAATTTTAAAATAACAAAAAAAATTGCATTCGTTGTTCAATACAAAATGAAATTTAGTAGTTATTATTACTAATAATTGTTAATATATATTATTCGTATGTTTATTTATATGTTAATTAGTAGGTAAACTTGTTAATAGAACTGAAGTTTGTAAATCAATTTTAATTTTTTAATTTCTTATTAAAAAGTTTATAAAATGAGTTATTAAATACAAGCTTTCTAAAATTAATTTACAGGTTTATAATTTTTTAGCATTTAACATTTTAATTCTGTAATTTATATGAAGATATTCTTACTTTTAGTGTTACTAGTTTACAATAAGCAGTGGTAGTACTTAATTAATTTTTTCATTGTTTCAACAAGTACAATTTTACGAAATTTGAATTTAAAAAATGTCTGGAATTTTAATAATAAAAACCTATAAATATTCTTTCTTAAAATAAATGAAGAACTCATATATAATTATATGCTCACATATATTATTCGAATAATGCCCATTTCTGCTAAAATACGGTCCCTTTAAAAATGGTTTAAAATAAATATATGGTCCAGAAGGGTAATTTCACACAACGGGCAACTAAACCTATATTACATTTATTATGTAATATATAAATGTATTATATAGTATAATATTGATATGTATTATTATAATTGTATAAAACATAAACATATAAAAGTCATTAAGTATTATATTTAAGTCATTACATTTAGATACATTTGATTTATAATTTTACAATTTCCCATTTTAAATCATTTTAGATTTGTATGAGAAGGGAAATCAATCATTAATAGTTACGCTATTATTGTTACTAACAAGTAACAATAGACTTAGAAAATAATTTTCAGATAAAATTAGTGATTTTGAATGAAATTATAAAAATTAAGAGTAACTTATTGACATAAAAAAAGTGAACAAGTAAATCATTTATATTAGTTCAGCAGAAACATTAATTTATAATTTTCACAAATAAAAAAAAACTTTGATTATGAAATTTATGGTTTAAGAATTTATATGAATACAAACTATTGTATACATCAACATATTATTTTATTTTATTTTAGTTTAAAAATTAGGTATATTTTATAAAGTAATTTAAATTTAGTCCAATAGTAAAAAGAAAAACTATAATTTAAGTAAAAATTACTTAAATTAAAATAAATAAATTTGAATTGCGACTATAAACATTATTATTATTCAAATCTAGTAATCTATTTAATATTATTAATATTAATTGATTAACTCAACTTAATGTTACTATTGTGTTAATGGCCAATCGGTTGAACATTAACCCGTTAATTATTTACTATGTTTATTTATGTTAATAATACTTATAAAAAACATTATATTGATAGTATTATTAACGGACAACGTATTATCATCGTAGACATTGTTTTTTTGCCCCACTGCTCTCTTGTCTAGCCATGCGTGTGATTGAAAACATTTAACCTTTTTGTTCATATTTTTTGATCCCAATAATTATTACTACCTATGTGTGTGTTCATTAACTGTTGGAAACGCATGCGTTATCGCCCATGTTCTAATTATTATAGCAACTGTACGGTAACTAATTATTATTACATCGGCTCACCTTCCTGATTGAGCGATACCCTGAGTCTTGTGTCCCACACCCCAGCCGAGGAGTCCTTCCATGTCCATCTGACCAACATAAACGAATCGGTCACGGTGTTGTTGAAGAACGACACGGCGCCAGGTCCGGCATCGGCCCTTTTCAACGTCCACGCCGGTTCCTTTTTTCCAACAAACAGACAACAATCAAAGGTGAGTAATAATAATAATATTGTGACAAAAAACTTTGTCAAACAAAACACAATATGAAATAGCCCGCCCGAAGAAAACACTTACGTCGCAACCGGAGACGGTGACGAGGAGCGAAGCTAAGGCGACGGCAGTCAGCGTGAACGACGGCAACGCGTCCATCATGGTTACTAAATTACCTCTAAAATAACATTATTCGTCATATTGTTAATATTTTTTATATAATTACGACGGCGCGTAACGAGATAGTAGAATGGTGGCGGCGACGGCGTCAGTAGAATCCGGGAAAAATATTATTATTATTATTATTTTAGTAGCATAAACGCGAACCGACAAACGGACCTTGGAACGGACCATTAATAATAATATCATAGGTATAGCAATATTGTATACACTCCATGACCCGATATAGGTATTATATATATAATATATCAAATGTATGTTTTGTTTTAAATTATAATAATAATAATAATAATTATTATTATTATTATCATTATTATTGTTTTTATTTATAACGCGCAATCACCTGGATCCCTTGAGCAGATAACACAGCTTTAGCACAATTTGGTTTGATAGCGACATCGTTGCGGTTATCCGCCAAACGGAAGTCACAGTGGCAGTGGACGGAATGGCAAACGTAGGTATAATACACAATATGGACAAACGCCGACTTCACAAAAATATTTCAATAATTTGTATGTATATTATGATATCTACACGTGACCGTGTCGTCAATAATGTCGTGTACAAATAAGAACAACACAATATAATATCCATTGCGAAAATAGTCATAATTCAAGTATAAGTTCTATAATAATAAATAACAACAGGTAAAAGGAACTTTGATCCCACACGTTTTTTTATAGAAAACTCCAAGTAGACAATAATTTATACTTTCAACTATTAATAATTAAAGAAATGTAACTTCCTTAGTTTCAACTCACTGTCTCGTACATCATAATAATTAGTGTTAAATAAATATACATCTTATTTATTTTTATTATGTCTCTAGACCAGTGTTCATTGCAATTTGTAACACTGTTATGTGAATAGATAATGAGAAGAAATAAGATATTAGGTATCTTTTTGGGGTTGAATATCACTGAAACATGAGGCGTCAAGTTTCAAAACCATCTAAAAGACATTTTGAAAGGTTTTTTTTTAAGCGGCTACACTGTATTACATGATATGTAAAACTATTGTTGAATATCAAATAAAGATTATAATGAACTTAAACTTTGTCAGGAAAATCATAATTGGTTTTAAAATCTCCCATCTAAAAAAATGATTTGTTGGTTGTGAACATTTTCAACAATAATGCTTTTAGTTGGTTTTGCATTGCATTTAAGAAAGAGGCTATGCTATGCCAAGAACAGTTCAGACATCAAAGTCTCGCATTCTAAAATTTCTAAAAGGTCCAACAAATTGATGATTTTTTTCAAATCAAATTAAATCAAACAAATTGTGGTTATAAGTTAAAGTGGAATTGAGTATTTTATGAACATAGTTAAGTTAATTAGATAATAAGTTAATCATTTAGGTAGGTATAAGCCAGAGGTTTATGTTTAAATGTTAAGTGAAATAAAGTTAAATTTATCTTAAATCATTATTTTACTCGAAATTAACCATTAATTTATTAATGCGTTGATGGCCAATCTTAATTAAGTTTTGTGCGACTAAATGTGAACGGTCGTGGTAAATTTTCCAGAGTACATATCTAATTTTGTCGCGGCTTCGTCGAGTCGGTAACAAATAAAGTCCATAGAAATAACCGGGAAACCCCAGCGTTCACGTGCGCTGTTGGTATAATTAAATACACTTTTTTTATTATATAATGAAGAGCAACGACCTTCGTGTCGTTGAAAACGAGACGGAACAGTCCGAATTAAATAAAAAGCAAATAACTTTTTTCTCCATAAAGCACATTATTATTACAGTATGCGTAGTACAGATAATATTATGTGAGGTTTAACCTGACTTGTAGCCGTCGGATGCCGGACGCTAGCCGCACGCTGTGTTCAGCTACCGTCGCTGTTTTCCAGTTGCCTTATTAACAAAATAAGAAAAAACATTCAACCTATCCTAATAATATAATACCAAATTAAGTTGTATTAGCCATCTAACTGTACCATCGATATTTATTGAATAATAAGCTCGTCTGTCGCAATGTTGTGGCAAAAAGGCGATGGTTGTGTATGAGAGGAAAACGAGTACGCGGAAACCGGCAGTAGCTAATCCGGCACATTGTATAGGCAATTCAAGTGCTCCCAGGAAAAAATCATGTCCAATCCCGGTCGTTCCTAATAAGGAAATGCGTTTTTAGCAAAAATAAGTTAGTTGACCCTTTAACGTTCATTGAAGAATGTACTATTGGCCTACCCATAATCGAACATCATAGTAACGAATAAGTGGAATTCAATGATAATAACTTAAATACGTGGATTTTCGGTAAATTATTTATTTATTTATCAAAAATAAAAAAAATCCAGTAAAGTTGGGTTGCGAAATTGAGTGGGTATGGAGCATATTGGGGAGGGGAGGTCACAGGTCAAATTTAATTTTTACTTTTGACCCGATAAAGCACCTCTCGGGTACGATTTCTGATCTAAGGCGTTTATACATGAAGAAACCAATTAAGCGATTTACAAGATATCGTGGGTCCAGGCATAGAAATGACATTGTAAAATCAATACTGTAAAATTTTATTTTTTGAGCAAACATATGTGTACCTATTAAAACAAAATGGCATTTATCCACTTTTCAAAAATCAAAAAAATAATTTTTAGGACTTGTGGTGTTTATGCGGTAAAACTAGCTCAGCCTGAATAAAACTTAAGGTAAACAGGTTTTTACACGAAAAAAAAATTGAGGGCATAACGACTTTTTAAAACCATAGCTTTTGCTATGCTTCAATAAATAAATCGGTATATAGTATTAGATTTTAATTTTTATGTTTTGAAAACATTACAGTTGATGAGTTATATTCGATGCTAATTTTATTGATTTGCAAAATAAATTGCGATTTACTATACCAAATTTTTTCGTTTTAAAAATATACAATTTTAGTTGTAATAAGTGTCGTTAAATAATACAATTAGTATTAACGGTAAAGTATTTTTACGTGGTCGACAACTGTCAACTGTCGAAACCAATTGTTTTTTAAAATCTTAATGGTAGGATCAAAACTATAAAAAATAGTTTTGTAATTTAATAAATATATTTAATGTTATTTGTATCTTTATAAAAGACTAATGCTTATAAGCAGTACAACAGTCAAGTGAAACAACCTAATGACAAATCGATAATTTTGAAAAATACAATATATTGTACAATTAATGTAATATAAATAAATAATTAACTTTTACATTCTCTGCACTTTTTTTTGGTAAATAAAAAAAGTACATTTTAATGCAATGGTTTTGTTATCTTCCAATATTAATAATTAATTTTTTATTATTCAATTATGTTTTTCTTTTAACAAAAAAAAACCTAAATACAATTAAAATTACTAATGAGTAGTGTATAATTAATATTTAATTTAGGTTAAATATATACAAGTCTATTAAAATCACAGTGAAATTATTTATTAGGTATCCTAGATTATTTATTTTATACTTTACGGGCATAGTCCAGATTTACGTATGAGTGCATAATACATAATAATACAACATAATACTCAATAACTAAATATAACAAGACGAAGAAGAGAAAGAAACAGAAAGAGAAAAATATAGCAAGTATAAAGTGGCAAAATAAAAAAAAAATAATAAAAATAATACAAATATAATGTTATTAAAAGGTGAACGACGGGTCTTCATTGGCTTGGCGTATAAGGCGAATAAGGGTAGAGTTTTAGAGATAATTGGAAGACAATGAGGTATTAAACGAACTACTTCGTGGAGGATGATGTTTCACCGGATAACAGTTTTTGAATTTTTAAGAAAAATATACAACTATTGTGTTCGGATTTCCTTTTTATAAATTATTATTTATAGGTACAAACTATTTAGATAGCTATTATAAAAAAATATATTTTACCCAATTTCACCGCAATAGAAAAGATCTAATACCTTTTTAACTGGGCTCAAATGATTGTTAACAAAACAAAATGGGTCAAAACGTTTATTGTATGTATGATTTATCATAGAAAAACTGTTAACAGGTAATAAAAAGTACAGAGGTAGCCTACCGTGACAAAATGGACAGTACAATATTGTTATAGTTTTATAAAAGCACTCTGCACCAGTATAGTTACCTGTGCTGATCCCTTGCATTGGTCGTTGGTCAATTTGTTTTGTTGACACTAAACTCCTTAACGATGCAATACAACATGCACCATTGGTGTTGCCTACACAGGTCGCCTTTACACGGTATATTCATTTTGTATCAAGCTTATTATTATTGTGGGTACTACGCATAGTTATAAAATGTTTAGTTAGAATCCCCGATATCGTGACTGCGACGTTCCTAAGCGTAGACGTGTGCCTGTTTTTACCTGACAATTTATCACGATACAATTCATTTGAGTAATGGTGCGACAGTACTAAAACACAGTAGAGCTAGTATTACCGAAATTAAATGTCACGATACGCATTTATTGCGATAAACTTGCGACCCCGTTTGCAAAAAAAAAAAAACCAAAACTACTACGACATGCAATGAATGTTTTTCATACAAAATAAGCAAATATTATATTTTTTTTCACCCCACTTCCTAGATCCTAATAACTTACCTTTGCTTACTTTTACTTGCTGTTACTTTTTATGTCATTTATGTATTAACATACACAGCTACACATATATTATACAGAAAAGAGATATGAATACAGACCACAAAAATGTGGCCGCCGCGCCAAAGAATGGAAATTAAATATGGCAAGCATAGAATACCAAACGGTCATTTCATGGTAAACTAGAAGAGGGGTATTGGGGGGGGAGGGGGGGGGCAGTTGTCACTGCGAATATTAATAACAATAATAATTATTATTATCTTTTTTTTAATGCGCTCGAGTCAATATAAACGGTGTTGGCGGACGCAACGCAAAGGGAATAAACAAGATGACTGATGGACTAAACACAGGGAATAAACACAATAATATTATTATTAACGCAGTGTTATGAACAACAATAGAATAGTTTGATCCGTCACGGATTGAGTAATCACCGTACAAGTACACAAGTGATTCATCCGCGTCGGCTACTTTTTTTTATAATATTTACTATTATTAGTATTTATTAACTATCTAACTACCTACCTACCTACCCATTACATACACACACATATCTATACATTTTATTTTTTATCCATTTTCGTTTCATTAATGCTGATGACATCCGAGAGCCCCCCCAAACAGTGTCGTCCGGCAGTCAATGAACTACCGCCAACGGTTTGAATGATAAAATGATAAATAATAAACGTTCGGTCTAATGCAGTCATAATTATAATTATTATGTTTTGACGTTTTCTCGCGGTAGCAAGTAAAGTTTACAAACCGCTGCAAACACTATAAAAATATATGAACACCTGTGTCTCTGTCAATGCCGACACCGGCAATACACATTATACCTTCTACAAATAATATAATGTTAAAAAGTACCCGAGAAAAACCTATAGCGTATAGCTGGCTGAAAATTAAATACACTGTAGCTAATGGAAAAACGCAATCAAGTTCAAAAGTCAAAATGACTAACCATGCCTGCCAGTCGCTTTCTAATACACAGAGCATGTACATTTACGTCCGTATTTATTGAACACTGCATTAGAACAGGAAAAACACAAAAGTCTTAAAAGTAGGTACAATAGAAACAATTATTGCTAGATGTGGATTACAAATAGCAATTTGTTTGGACATTTCTACTACTATAAATGTATAGTTATAACCTATCTTTTCCCGTCAAAGTTTAAACACTATACAATACTCATAATAATATAAACAATGTTTTTTGTACGTTTAAAACATGAGCATGTATTTTTTTTCTTGTACTCTTCGAACGGCACATTCTTGTTGTACCTACCTCTACACAGCCCTAGTACAGGTACTATAAGGCGCTTGATGCAGAGGACATGATGATAAATTATTCAATCGACTGTGGGGTTCACACAGTCAATACTAGTGCAATTCAGCTCCATAGTTATTATTAACGAATCGGTAATTACTCGATTGAACACGTCGACCATTTTATTGCATTGCAATAATTTATAATTACTAGACTAGCTCATTGATTGTTTTTGATATTATCGGTGTTGTAGGTTACAGAAAGTGCAATGATCGTTTTTTTTTCATACCAGCCGTGCAATAAAAGTAATTCGATTGCAATTATTTATTAATATTTTTATCGCCGATTGCAAAACAACAGAAAATACCAAAATAGCGAAATAACCACATTGTTTTGTCCGAACCAATAGTAGAAAATTATTACAAATCATTAATTACATCGTTCCGCTCTTCAAACTCGAGTGATCAAAGTGATAAACGTTCGAATGGATTTATAGTAACTGGAATTTACAATTAAACATTTTGTCGATTAAGAATAAAAAAAACATCTCATCTCGAAAATATTAAACTTTAAGTCGACGCTTTCATTTTACTTATCTATTAATTTATATCAAAGTATATATTTTTTTATGTATTCGACTGAATTTATGAATTTCAATTAATCGTTTAACACAGTTAATATACGTTAAGGATTATTACTACTAGAATTTGTATTATCAGAAGTCTTTGAAAAGTAAATTATTTCGTTGTGTATAATATATTATGTATAAAACTATAGATCTAATTGCTAAACATATTACCACATGGTAATTTAGGGTTATTTAATTATTAATGATTTATTTTATTATCATCGAAAACCAAATTTATTGAAATCGTTCGTTTTAAAAAACAAATTAGAAATAAAAAAAGTTAAGACTTCAGTTTAAAATACTCCAGTTTATGGTGTAAATATGTTAAAAAAAAAAAAAGACTGTAACTATAACACTTATGCCGAGGGAAAATTCTTATAAAGATACTATTGCCCGACACTTAAACAGAAGTACGATTGATCTAAATCCCCAGAAAATATTTATTGCCTATACCTTACTCCAAAATTAATTTAGATATAAATGTATACAAATTTTACTTCGGTTATAATGATTTGCCTACTAAATTTTTCTTTTGCACAACAAATCCTTATAATTTAAATCAAAATAATATGTATTCATGGTAAGGGTCCGAATTTGTTTTACATTAGGCAATGGAGAAAAGGGGCTGGTTAAAATTATACAATTACCCGATTGCCTTGTCCGGTCTAGTGAGCTTCTAGTCAAGTGGTAGCAGATGCAAATAATAAACGTTGAAAAAATAAAAATAAAAATAGTAAAAACACTCGACTGCCGGCGTTGATCGTTACAATGAAGAGGCGAACCGTCAATGACGGTCGATTAATGACTGTACAACACTTCTAATAAGTAATAATTATAATAATATTATAATTGTTATTGTTATTGTTAATACTGTGAATAATACGGGTTTCTATTTTCAGAGCAGCCGTCAAAATCGAAACGAAAGCTGAAATTATTATTTGTATTTTATTGCTGTCATTTTATACCTAAGCCGCCGTCGCGCCAAGGCTCCGGTTTCTCTTGTACACCTCGCACTTCTCCGATAGTCGAGTGGTCCTCGTTCTGGTGTAGATATAATGTTGCTATTTAAACTACCAGTGTCCCATTTGTATTACCGTATCAAAAATACAGTAACAACAAAACGCGTGGGCGATCGCGTTACCGGCTATTGATTTACACGCGGCCGAGTTTTATTTATTGTAATCACAATGGGTAATCAAATTTTCCCCTCGTAGATATGAGCCGCCGTTACACGATCGTTTGGCCATCAGTCTAAGAAACAATATACCGTTTGCCAGGAAATTCGCACAGCGATAAAAATAGTGCTATGATTATAGCAATAGGTACCCCTTATGGTCTATTTGTCCCACGTAGCAGCAGCCTGGTCAAAAAGTGGTTTCTTTTTTTGGTGGTTTTACTTTAAGGGGATTCGGTACCGGCCGTTTTTTTCAGTCAAAACACATCATTTTTTGTCCATCGCATAGGCCGAACCAGTAATCCGATAAGTAATTTGAAAACAGATTTGAATTCGTCATGAAGTTTGCTTGAGATCCTAGGAAGCACATTTTTCAGTTTTAAATTTTAACCCTTTACAAATTTAATTTTAATAATTGACATTTTATAAAATGTTCAAACGTTTCTTATTCATAGTAAGAAAACAATTTCAAAAAAGTACCTCGTAGGGTCCCAAGTAGAACTTCATAATGAATTCAAGTCTGTTTTGAGATTACTACTAATCGGATCACTGGTACAGCCGGTGCGATGGACAAAAAATGTACTGTTATATTAACTAAAATGGCTTTTACTCATAGACAAAATGATTTAAATTAAAAATAACACCATGAAGCTTATACAAAAAATCTGGTAAGTTAATTAACATGGTCGAAATTTATTAAAACCCCTTTTTTCTTAAATATTGCCTATACAAAACTCCCTAAAAATGGTAAGAAATGCGCGCGGATAAAAATAGCTTTACGCGCTTACTCTACCGCACTCCACCCATCCTACCTTTAGTAACTCAAAAAGTAATTATTAAAATCTAGTTATCGACCAGTCAACATTTTCAGCAAATTATTTTTAATAAAATGGCTATATTAAATTTAAAAAAAAAGTTTTGAAGCTATCGTGGGTTCAGACAAAATAAAATAAATAAATAAAAAATAAAAACACATCTATTGTAAAAAGTATAACTTCTCAGCTCCACATCGAAGCTATAAAATTAAAAAGCTTATTTACCCAGTGAAAATTACACATTACACAAATATACAAAAATAGCACATTTTAAACATAATGGTTTGAACACTCCAACTTTTGGTTGACTTTATTTTCTATGACCTAAAAGTTAATCAAAAAATCATAAAATAAAGGGTCACATGGGCCATGTGGTTGGCTATTAATCATTCTAAGTATTTTGTACTGCCGAAATCAATTTTTGTGTTTCCCAAACAGAATTGAACAAAAATGATAACAATTAAGTGAAAAGTGAATAAAATTCGTTGTTTTAATTATTATTGGTAAATAAAAATAATTATTTGTGAATTAAAATAACAATTTATAAAACACGTAAATAATTTTTAATTATTTTAATAAAATTGTACTGGAAAATGTCCAACTCTGTTCACAAACATTTTTATTTATATTATATGTTAGATACAAATATTTTTTAAATCCCTACGATTCGAGTCAAAGTATAAATCATAATATGTTAAAAGTAAAGGTTGTTACTCAGAGTAACTACACAAAAACAACAATCGTTTGGTATGTTTTTTTTTATTGATTTATATTTACAGTAACTAAAAAATATCGTAAATTAACTATAGCATTTTTTTTATCATTGTTATTATTAATATTAAATTATTACAATAAAAAAATTAGGAACTGGTAGATTTCTCTGTTTTTTTTTATATATAAATACCTATATTTATATATATATACAAATATATATTAGGTATTAATTAATATACTTTTTCTTCTAACAATAGATAAAGTGAAAAGATATAAGTATTATTTTAGCGTATCTAAAATTCATTTTACAATAAATACATCTACTCACAGGGGTGGGACGAGCTCGGGGTGTAGAAAACAATTTCAATTTCATATAACAACAATTTGATGGTATAGGGGGAAGGGGAGGTAGGGCATAGAGAAGGTGTGCTCGAATAGAAACAATACAATCTACTTTTTCAACAGAGAATAACAGCAATAATTTACATTAAAAAATAATAATAAATAAATAACTATAATAATATAAAATATAAAAACGCATAAATTTCAAATTTACCACTTAACACAATATTTTTTGTTTATAATGAAAAGACATTTGTTTTTATAAAAATATTCACAGTTCCTCGTTTTTTAAATACAACTGGTATTGTTTGTACGCGTTGGTAAGTAGGTAGTACTAGTGACGGTAAGAACGGATGGTCTATTTTCAGAGGGAAAAATTCTTGGTTTAAAAAAATGATAATTTTTAAAAAAGTAAAAAAATAATATATTATTATTCGACTATATATATATATAAATATATATTATATGTATATAATGAGAAGAGCGTGTGTGTGTGAGAGAGAGATAATATAATGTTGTGTTACAACAGAAAAAAAAAGATAGAATGGAGACTGGTCTAAAACAAAAGTCGTGTCACTTGCTCTTCGTTTTGTTGTTGTTATTAAAAACCGAGAAAAAAAACGATTGTAATATCGGTGTATAGAGATTTCGTAGTACTCCAACGACATTTCGCGTATTGATGTATATAAATTAATTTCTGTGTTAAAAATGCGTTGGTCACGATTAACTTAGACATATTATTATTACTATAGTACACACAACTATGACTGAACATTACACGTCCCGTTGTCGTCATCTCACGCGCGTTGTACAACATTCAATATTTGTTGAAAAATAGGAGATTTAAGCATTTTATAAATGTATACATATTCATATATATATATATTTATATATAAATATATAAATAAATATTATATACAATGTACACCTGAATACGTTATGAAGAGAGTGGGTGGGAGAGTGTTTAAGAGAGAGAGAGAGAGAGAGAGAGAGGAGAGAAAACACAGGGACCGGAGGAACAACAAAATATATAATCAAAATACATAATCAAATAATGAGTCGAATTGGTAAACGTCAATAAACATCAAGTACCTAAACTAAGAGTCCAATTGAAACATTCTTTCTTTTTCTTTTCTTTTTTTCTTTTTTTCCTTACAAAAAAAAAAAAACAAAAAAACAAAACAAAAACGAAAATTATTTTATCAATGTGTGGAATCCTCGGCGGAGAAATTGTTTGTGATGTGAATCGCCTGATTGATGGCCGGCCGCCGCGCCGGTCGGGGCTCGACATAGTGTGTATGTATGTATCTCTTCCAAAATCTTTTGGTAGCCGCTTTTAACTTGAGTCGTCTCATACGATCAATGGTTCTTGTCGCGAACTCTCCGGACGGTCATTGGGACGCGTCATAGACTCCTGCGAGAAATACAAAATAAAACAAATTAGTAAACATATAATAATATACAGCCAAGTCTGTGCCGATGAACAGAAAAAAAGGTTCGGGTTAACAATAGTTAAGTGAATTCCAATTTAAACACAAGTCGAATAGCCGTTTTAAATAATAACAGATAAATTATTTAGGGGGGAGGGGAGAGGCCAAAAAATACATAAATCCGTTTCAGCTGCACTGGTGAAAAACCATAGGTCCATGTTCTATTGGCATATAAAATTATGGAAAAAAATAATAACAATTCCCGTCCGATATAAAAATTATATACATTTGTTTAATATGATAAAAATATTGTACTCCATTTCAAGTGTTAAAGACTACGGTCACTTAGGCTAACTAAGGTGATAAACGTCAAGTTAAAAATGTTTCGATGATCGATGTAGGTATTTAGACTGTCGTCCGCGAAATTTCGCCCACTCGAAACTTTAAACTTGTGATTTTTTTTGCGATTTAAATGTAATATTTTAAGTTGTCGATAAAAATTACTTTTAACGGTAACCGAGACACAACGTCGTTTGGGACGAGCATAAAAAGGTGGTAAAAAAAAATCCGAACAAATACAACAACCTTAATGAACGAAACAAGGTACGTACACAATAAACTCTAGATAAAATTCGCGTCCGGCTGCTTAACATACTGGCTTGGTCCATGTTTGGCAGTGAGCGGGTACAGCTGCTGTTGCTTAAACGCGGTTACGGCCGTCAGCGACGGGGGACGAGGCGGTGGTGTGGTATGTGGGTACCTATCGGGATTTTTTTTTTTGTATCTCTTCTAATTAAGGAGCCAATGACGTTTTACATTATAATAAAAACCAAAATGAAAAACAATTCGATTATCGCGAAACGGTCGATGGCAGCTGCTGCGAAAAAAAAAATCTCAAACTACCGTGGATTCGCGTGGGGGCACACATCGACGGTTCTAAAAATAAACTTAGCCGGATCATTGTTTACGCGGTCAACGAAACTAAAACAATTAATATACTTCTCAGGTGAGTAACCGTATGTAGCGACAGAATTGTTTATACAAATCAGCGCCTATTGGGTGAAAAAACATTGAAATTAAAAACACTCTTGAAGTGTAAAAAAAAAATGGCATTCCCGTGTCAATAGCTCAAAATATAAGCAAAATTGTGTAAAAAAATAAAAAAAATAAGGTGCGACGGTAGTCATTAACCTCTAAACATATGGTGAGAAAATATGTTTAGAGTGTCAAACCCAATAATTATGAAATAGTTCTACAAAGTAATCCATCACAGAGCCTTATAGAAAATTAAAACTACTTTAATTTCATTCGTCAAAAGTCGACAAAATTTGAAATTAGCACTTTTAGACCCAAGATCTGTATTAAAATTTTACCAAATATGTATATACTCACTGTGATTACTGTCTTGAGAGGAATCGTAACGATAGTGTGTTTGGGGCGATACGCAAAAGGTCGTCTCTCCATGTCTCCCCACATGCCGTCTACCATTCTGGAAACAAACAAAAAACATTCATCAATTTTTTAAAGTAAAAATCGTAGCCTTTATAATTATGGTTATTGTACAGACTAGCGAAGGTGGTGACTGACCGTTGGAAATAAAAAGTAATAAAAAGCAACAAAAAAGACATCGCGTCGTTTTGAAGTACTTGCGTTACGTTACTAAGTAACTAACGACGACAAAGATGCTTTTTCTTTCTATTTTCCACGGGTCTAGAGAAAAGAAGGAGACTAGTTTAACTTTTTAACTCATGATAGTTTTAGAATATGATTTTTGATTCAATTGAAAATTGTGTGGAATGTAATCGAAGCTAATCACAAAAATACGTTAAATACAGATAAAGTATTAATACTTACGAAACGTCGGCTGCGTTCAATTTGAGTTTTCGTTGTCTTTTTGACCTGATGTAAAACGTGGTGCAGATTATAAACACCAACAGAACCGCCACACTGACCCCCGAAGCTATGCTGGCCGATTCTAGCATCACTTGTCTCCTGGTAGCTATAAAATCATTAAAAAAAAAAATACCGTAAGATTAGGAGAGAACACACACAGCCAAATCAATTATTAAAAAAAAAAAAGCAAGGCGCCCTATAGCGTTTTTTTCGGTCGTCCGAATCAATCGATATTTGCGGCGATTAAACCGTATAAGTATTTTTTTAGAACTGGGAGGGGGATTGCTTATTAAATAAAAAGTTAACCAAGTTTCGAGAGTGGGCCAATTTTTTTTTACCAACGTTTTAGTATGTATGTATATTATTACTATATCATCAACTATACTACTACACTCGGGACCAGCTGCGGAACGTGAGAGAGAGAGAGAGAAAGAGAAAAAGAGTACAGTAGGGATGATCGTGGCGCATACCTAGTAAATCATTAGTATGCCGGACCGAGCACGGGTTTGGTATGCGGTCTCGTTTCTTTACCTCCCTCTACACCTGAATAATGTGTGCTTCGTTACGTATACGTTCACATAACACACATAAACCTACACACACATTCATCGGCGGTGTCCCCATTCATGTGTGTGTCTTCTCTGATATAGTTTTACTCATTGGCTGTACAAATATATTATATATATAAATAAAATAATAACAATAATATATTGCCGGTGTTGCGCGCAGACGACCTTGGCCAACGGTCCATCGGAGACTGATAAATAAATATATTATGTAGTTTCTTTTTTTTATAAAGCTTAAACCATATAAGATCCCAAACGGCGCATCGTTAACGCAACCGGCGCGATGACGTTTAGCTGCGTCAAAACAATATTTAAGTCTGCGAAAAAACAATATAATATACCTACAATAATAGTAATAATAATAATAATAATAATACATGTGTACTCACACCATCAAACACTAACACCGTGACTACCCGGTTAGGATTTTTATACTTTGGGAGAATTTTGGGAAACGCCTGCGCGGGTGAGTCCGTACAAAAGACTGTGCCTACTTACAACTAACAGTTGGACTGGTCCCAAGTTGTCGGGCGACGACGGAAGATATTATATGATACGGAGAGCGCTGTATAGTGATGATTTACTGTGTAGAACGACCACATTAGTATACTGTCACACGGTATAATTTTGTATTTCAAAAAAAAAAAAGAAAAAAAACCGTTTCTAAAAATTATCTATTATAGGGAGAGTACATAGAGAAGACACTGAGACGAACCTCGGCGACCCCGGTAGAAAAATAATATCGCGTTACTTTTTCTTAATAACAGTGATGAAAAATACCATTCAGGTACATTATATTATTATTTAATTTAACTTACTCGTGTACGAGCCGTCCAGGTTTTTGTACTCGCATCTCTGCCCCATGTAACCGTCGGGACACCTGAAAATAACAAAAATCAGTCAATACAAAAATAATTAATTTAGAGCTTTACGCCGTCATAGAGTAATATAGTAATATAGTAATATGGTAATATAGTGTAGGTACATTTTTAGTATTGTTTTAGTTTTGTCTTAAAGTTATTGGAAAAGCTAATTTCCGAGTAATTCTAGAAAAACACATGTTTAACTTTTTATTATACATAGGCATAGCCTTTGCCGACCTTGCGTGCGACCAATTTATTTTACCCTACCACAATCGTTGCCTTCAGACGAAACCTAGGAATTCACATACGGGAGGAACTTATTTAGGGCGCGGTTGTAAAAACAAAAAACCATTTTCTTTGAACTCTGTATTTAAGCGCCCCTACAACTACACAAACTTTTAACCCAACGTTGGATCTGGCCTAGGTCGTTTTTTAAAAACTATTCAGACTACTAGGTTTGATTAGGATACAAGAAATGAAAACGATTACTGGAATTTTTCAAAATTATGAAGTCTATTTGATCTATAAGTCAGCTTATCACATGTAACCAAGTCACTAGAAGACCTCCTGCTACACGCTAGAAGGTTTTTTACCACCAAAAAGATCTAATAATTGGTACGGCAATGGGTTTGTGATATTATGTGTACTTGAGTAAACCAAGGTCTATATATACAGTAAGAATTCAATCTGCAATTGGTTTTTATAGTGCGATTTTTAACACACTACTACAGCGCGGAGTTCCACTTTCCTGTGAGATAAACCGAAATAAGTATTATAATAATATTTTGTTTATGCACGAGTAACTCGGGTACAGAATTTTACCGTTCGGTCGGTGTCGTCGGAATTAATAGTGGTCTAACGACGATATTTCTTAAAAAAAAAAAAGCCTAGTACATTTTATATGTACCTATACTATATAATATTATTATATATAATGACAGCAAATACAAACAAAACAACACCGGGACAAACGGTTGCGGCACCACGTATTGGACTCCTGCACGGTTCTGTGGGTTCTCGATGAAGAACAACAATAACATAGATATATATGAATATATATATATATATATTATATGACCGAGTTTCTCATGATATAAGCCGCGGTCACAAGAAGCCTGCCAGCAAAGGGCGATACGTAGACCCAGTGGGCCAAAAATTAAAATCAATTACCGTGTGACAAAAATACATCTACGCCTACCAGATGAACGCATAATAATGTTATTGCTATTATTTACCAAATTCGAAGACTGTACTCGAACACGTCGAAAAAGGAAATGTTTTTATTGTTAATGGGTACGGCCTATGTATTTTTCATTACTCAAACGCGGTGTATTATAATAATATTATTCTATTATTATTGTAATATCGCTTAGTCATATTGTGGAATTTCATTAAAATACTACTTGACCGCGTCGAGCAACACAAATAGTGGCTGTTGACCGTTCATTTTTAGTTTTAAGTCAACTATATAATTAATGGCCTAGTTGAGTAAGCGATTTAGCATATTATAGTATGCGATTCAAAACGCAACTGAATCAGACCGCGAAATTCCTAAGTTAAATTGTTTTGCAAAACGCGTTAGTTAGGTTTTCGATGAATTACTCAAAAAATAGCCAATTAACTAAATATTTTACTGAATCAAATACAAACGCGCTAGAAGTACTCGTATTTTGTGGGTCGACTGACGTTTAAAAGATAGTCAAATAGTTTAAATCGAGAAGAAACTAAAAAAAATGTACATATTTTTCAATTAAAACTATGGACCGCTGTAACTTTTTCTAGAAGCAGTAGAATTAGTTCTTAATATATAATATACATATAAATGTAAAATAAATATATAAATCTCTTTCACCTTGAAGGGGTAGAAAGTTTTTCTATACATCGCTTTTTTAGGTGTAGTTTTAGGGCTAAAGGTCTAAAAATTATTAGGTTGAAGGAGCTTTGAAGCACGTGTTGTCATCGTTAAATTCCATTGAAATTTGGCATACCCCCTTTCATATATAAGTTATATATTTATATATATATATATATATATGTATGTATGTATACTGTTTTCTTTTATTATGTGCACTTAACCTCTTTTTTACGATATTTTGATGAGTATTTAGAAAACAGATGTACCCGATTGCATATTCGAGACAAACTAACCATGTATTACCTTTATAGCAAGGTTTTTAACAACAGTTGCCGCGGCGACGGCGGTTCGTCGGGCGCGATGAGACAAGGTGATACAGCTATTAATATTTTAGGCGTGTGGTCGGATGAGGAATTTTTGAAATATTTGCGACAGCTAGGCGTACTCCTTTAGGCATATACTTCCATATTATACACCGCATGGTAGCGCACTCGAACCCCGCTAGCGGCCACAAAATGAGAATAGGAGTGAAAGAGCCTAGATATGGAGAGCGAGAAAGAACACACAGGAGTCGTCATAGTCATACAGTTGTCCGAAGGATATCCGTGCTTGGGCATTAAACAGATACGTGACCCGCAATACGGACCGGGGATTATATATTTGTACACACATATACACGCTGGCATTTAATAACAACGCGCCTATATTATATACCGACTAGACCACCTACCCGTCGTAAATATTATCCCGTATATGTGTGTGAATATATATTTGTTTGTGTTGAGTAGCGCCGGTGGTTGGTACAAGAGCACCTATTACCTTGTACGGTTGTTATTATTGCGTTGGATTTTGGAAACCGATATGGAGTCTAATGTATGACTGACCAAAATATTCAGGCTAAGTGAAACCGTTTCCAAAAGTCACATTTTAAGGACACGGCAATTAGGAATGAAAGGGCAATGTCTCTGAAAAGCCTTTTTTTTTAATGTCAAAAATGTCAAGATGAAGAACTCAAACCTATTTTACATACCAGTAAAACTATATTGAAGTAAATAAATAAATTTTATGTGAAAACCGACTTAAACATAGGAACATGTTCGGCATTAGCATTATACTACCCAACAGACAGCCTAGTTTAATCGAGCAAAACAAGTCTAACCTTAAAACTATTAGTCTCGAGTAAAGCTCCCCCAAAACTTAAGAAAAATATTACATCCCTGAGATGCACAATCAAATTAATAAATTTAATTAGTTTAATGGACCAATCGCGGACGCGTTTATCAAACCTTTAACGAAAGTTTATGCGTCTCGTCGTTGGATTATATATGGTAGTGTGGCCAAAATAGTTAAAACAAGTGGACGGTATACTTAGTAGCAGAAGAACAGGAGTTAGATGACTCTGAAAAAATGATACACTGCGAAGCTTCAATACTCCGAGTTACCTCCAAACAATGACCTCAAGTTAGTGATCGACAAGTCGGCAAAGAAGTCGACTCTGGAGTGTGTAGGTTTTGAGTGGGCACGACAACGTTCGACCCGCACTCTAAAATAATAAATTAAACTTATAACAAGGTATACTCACTCGCAATTGTACAGTAGAGATTCGCCGATTTTGATAGCGAAACACGTGGCATCGTTTAGACAGTACCAGGTGGCGTATACCGGCGGACAGGGGTACGTGTGGAAGGTGACGTTGGGCCTCGCCGTCGGTTGCAGGGGTCGCGGTTTCGGCGTCGACCTACTCGAACACGCGTCTGTAACACAAGAAACAAAACAAAAACCTATTATTATTAACACTTAATTGCTATTCACAGTGTAATAGGCTATGTGTCGTAGTACACGATCACTGGGAGAGAGCACGTGCTGGAGGAGCCGCGACACGCTGGTGGTAGTTACCTGCCCTCGTGCGGGATTCAACCGGCTTAAAGGCGGTATAGCAATTGTCTCCGAAGACCTCACAGGCACACACGACATACGATACCAGAGGAGGTTTTTGTAAGCTGACAATAAGCGAGAGCCTGACGACCGGTAGTCGCTTTTGGGGTGGTGGTGGTGATAACCAGATAAGCGGTACGGGCGCCGCCGCCGGAAGGGCCGCACAATGGTCTTAGCCGTGGTGATGTACTCGCTGCACAAGAGTGGGCGGAAGGTTAAAACGGATGTACGATTTGTATTCATTTCGAGATTATCGTGTGTACGACTACTCACAACACACCTAAAGCACACGGACGAACACCGGCCGTCTGCTCTCGTCACTGTGATACTATAACAATGTGTGTAAAAAAATAAGCACACATACATACATTCGGCACTAGTCCCGTCTTATTTCATATTAACAACGATATATTATGTATAAAGCGTACAACAATAAAACAAAAATTACAGTACACGGAATCCGGTTCCGTTTTTTTCACTAAAAGAGCTCTAGAATTTTTCGTGCGGACACGCGAAATTTGTATCGAGTTGTAATGGTAAAAAAAATCCTAAAAGGGTTTAACAACCCCATACAGTAGGTAGACAAATTATATATTATAATACATAGTCGTTATACCTATAACACACAAAATTCTCGGCGTGCTGTGTGGGCGTTTTCGACGTCCTCGTCTCGTTATTATTATTAATGTTATTGCAATGTTCTCTTAAAAAAAAAAATTAATAAAGCCCGAACCCGATATCGATTCTTGTCGGGTTTCGCGTGAAAAAGACTCGGTGCCTTTTTCGTCTTTAAAGTATATAGAATTTCGCGGCATAACATGAAACAATATTATTAGGAAGGTATTATTATTATTACTGCCCCTTACGGTGGCATGTACCCGCACGTATTTCGTGGAAAGACTAGTATATAATATGCAAAAATAAAAAAGCTTTACACAGAAACCCGTAACGACCAGGTTCGTATGTTTTTCTTTCTTTTTTTACTAATATTTATTTATCCTTGACGGCAGCGCCGGCTGTTAAAAGGTTTTTGGTCGCAAAAATTATACATAATATTATACAACATTGGAACATATAATACAGTATAATGGTTTAACAATCATAAAACACACGCGGACACCGAGTGTAAAAACAGTAAGGACAGAAAGATAAATATATATATATATATATAGGAGAAACCGCGACAAGGGAGACGTGCCGCCGACAAACGACCGAGGCGGTGGAGATTCGACGATCTGAAAATTGCGTTTACACATGTGGTGGTCCCACACAGTAATTGTGTTGTCAGAGGAAAAGAGAGAGAGAGCGAGATATGAAGACCGACAGGCCGTAAAGTGTCCAGGCGGTGTACTTTATAACTAGACTTGTCTGTCCCGTTTAAAAAAAATATATACCGCCGTAGCCGTCTTTTATTATTTGCAGAAATAAATAATATAATAATCCATAAAAAAATGTGGTGAAATAAGAGTAAAAAAAACAAATATAAATCGGACCGCCCGGTTAGCGGCGTGTGTGTGTGTGTATACCGGATCATACGAGGACTTACAAATAGCAGTTGGCGTGCGGAGCAAATCTAATTATTGGGCGGTACTTAAGTATATATATGTGCGGCGGCAAGAGACGAGTGCAACCGCTTGGCCACTGTCGGATGATAATTAGAGACAAAAAATATCCTTTTTAAAGGAGCCGCAATGTGACCGCGACCTACCACACGGAGAGAGAAAAATACACAAATTCAAGTACAGGTTAAGCACACGCGGATAGGAGGCGTGATTGAACGTAGAGAGAGGAAAATATGAGTTGAAAAAATAGGGGAAAAAAGTAAACAGCGGAGTGCGCGCGACCCTTCGAAAACGCCGACAAAACGATAATAATTATAGGTCGGCTTGTTTTATATGTCCAACAACAAACAAGTGGCACCGCCACCGATCGCGACGGACATATCGAACAAACCGTATTCCCTCTTTAGACTGCACTCTCCTCCCTTTCACTATTTAATAATCTGGGAAAACTACAGCCACTCGCACGATAATAATTATGATTTGCCGATATTAAAGTTGTCGTTTGGATACAAAAATATAATAAGTTCGATTTACAATAATTGCCAGTGGTGGGGAACATTATTAGATCGGCCGGAACCTGGTTAATCAAATGGGATTTGGTAAAAGCCAGGCTGTGGTAACTCTAAAAATATACTCAAATAATATTATCTTACCGTTATTAGTACGATATGACCGAACTTCATGAACAGAACAAGAACATAACATAAAATTATAAGTCCGTCATCAAATTTCACTTTTCATATTTTTTTTTACCGAATTGGATGACATTGCGTACATTGGAGACGAGTACAATAGTGGTTTGTCTTGTTAAAAAAAGTTGACCGATAGTTTGATTGCCGATAACATATAAGTTATTTGTGATTAAATTATATATAATCAACGTAATAGGATGGTAAATGATGATAACAAACGAGCTCGAGTGGTAAATCCTAACCCTTTATTGCAGAGTCCAAAATTGGAAGGTTAACTCGTTTTTAAATATTAAATAGTTTATATGTCAACAGCATCATTGATTTTTTTTTTGGTCATAATTGTTTTTAAATAAAATATTAAATTTCCAGACCAACTAAAAAATAATCATCTAATTTATACTTCTGTATATATTATATGTATATAAAACCAAAATTTGGTTGGAACTGAAGTACACGATGGCGGTGAATTTACTATTTTTCAAACGAGTTAGTAGTAATAGAATACTTATTTGATGATATCTTTGCCATAACTAAGTTACTTAAATGTTTAATTATTCGTTAATTTGTGACTTGTTCAGTCCATATTTAGATTACCCAGATATTCAAAACATCATTAGTTCATAAATTGCTAACAAATTCGTGTTATTAATGCGTCATAGGTATCCTTTTAGTCGTGACTATTTTTGAGTGCATCATTAATTGGAATGGAGATGTTTGATTATGAGTCTAGACTATTTTTTATTTTTTATCAAAACTTAAAAGGAACGAGATTCTTCTTCGACAAATGACAAGTCTATCGCAAATCTGGCACTTATATAAATGTGAACGCTATTAAATTAATTAATTATGCTTGTCCGCGTCTTGTAGTCGTTTGTGATTGTAGACGAACCATAGAAGTAAAGATCCTGCCACCGAAAACGGTTCGATAGACACAATAGTAAAACACGCACAATGGGAAGATATTGGCCAAGCACGAACTGCTGGGTACTATATTGTTGTAGCACAACCAAGCATTTGAGATGTGACACGACGATACGGGACTGAACGTGACGTGCCGCCTTAGTAAACCGCAGATTATTGTTATTATTATACGGAAGAAATCAGCGGAGAGTTTAATAGATTACATTATTATGATTTGTTTGTAAAAAAATAATAATAAGAAGAAGAAAGACCGATTTCTATAGATGGCAAAAATTTTATTGGGTTTATTTCGCCTTTAAGTGATTTGTTTTGTGCCCGACAAATTTATTGTGTACTCACAGGGTACCGACTAGAGGAGGAGGATTAACCACAATCACTGGTAGTTGTTCTGTAAAGAATCGTAATTTCGAAGGACGTTTTTACAAACAAGACGTTTCCCGGTGGTCGAACGTTCGGGTTTTTTTTGCACCGTTTTTCATCTACTCGCAAAGGTAAATACACGGTTTATCGATCATCTGCGCGACCGCTAAGTATATATTATTTGCCGTTTGCTTCTTTTGATCGGACCGACAGCGGGTAATGTCTTCGACGTTTATCTACTATTGTTGTGCAAGCCAACAAATTGACGTTGATTTTTTTTTTTTTTTTTTTTATCCGAGTATTAGAGAAGCAATCACTAAAATAACTATTAACTGATAGAACATAGGTTAAGTGGTAAATAGGGTCCCTAACTTTGCATCACTCTGATATAGTATAGTTTGAATTGTAATTTGTATTTAGTAATTCTAGATTGTGATACATACAAATACGCCAGAGGCACTTTAATTCAATCTGAATTAGTGTGTGTGTGTGTGTAAATCATGACAAAAAACCGAATACGTAATTATAATTTATATATAGTTTATTCAGACGTAGTGACTTTGGGATCAACAGCGTTAATTGTCAGCGCGCGCAGCGGTGGTAGTCGGTTTATTCGGCCAAAAAAACAGCGGGGATTCGACACATTTTCTATTTACAAATAGATTTATATTTATTGTAATGAACTAGAGGAAACCGCATCCGCACGAAACGCTCAACTTAAAATTAGACTTAAGGCAAAGGAACGAAGCTGCAGAGAAACATACATCCAAATGCGTTTGAACTGTGGTGAACAGTGAACTACCGATAAATTATCAAAAGTGGAGAAACATTTTTAACAAATAATAAGTAATTTAAAAAAAAAGAAGAGAGGCGAGAAAAGAACCTTACTTTAGAAATACCACTCTGGATAAACAACCTGTTTTTCAGATTACTTTAAGTAGTTTGCAATTTTGTCGGTATTTCACGTAAGACGTAACACGTAAAATGGGTATTAAGAAAATGTCATATCATTGAATGGCCTTTTGTATAGTTTTATATCTTCATATAATAAAATGAAATAATTAGTGACAAATATGTACCATAGCGACTAATCAGCTTTATCCAACGGCCTGTCAACGGTTATCCATTGCACATGATCAAAATGTTTTATATTTTTTAGAAATACTTTTTTCTCCATACAATGCCTCGAAGTTTGGTGAACTGTTACTGCGGTGTTCCATGTATAGCGTCCGTTATTAGCCTTTAAGTCCTGATTGATAACAGTCCAACCGTTTACCTTCAACC